CGCTGCGGCTGCGCGACCGGCATCTCCATCTTGCAGGCGCCGATGGCGTGGGGCAGGGGCCGGGTGAGCGCTGAGGGGCCGCTCAGCCCCTCGGGCAAGGCCGCGGGGGAGGCGGGGAGGGCTGGACTAGAACGCTGGAGACCCGCTCCTCTGTGACGCCACATCCGGTAGGAGCTGGGCGCCGCCCCGCTTCCAGTGCGACAGGGATGGTACTTGCGGAGGCCGAGCCCCGCGCACCCTCAGAGCGGGTGCACCGCATGCTCCAGGGGGGCGTTTGGAGTCGGGGCCTCAGCCCCTAGCAGGGGCATCGCTGTCTCCCCCTTGTCACCTCTGACACGCGTGTCCCCGCTGGTGTGTGGCCGTGCCTTCCCCGAGTGCGGCTTGCTGCCGTCGGACACGGCTTCTCTCTCGCCAGCTTTTCCGCTGGGCCCCTCTCCCACGCGTGTCGTGTGGTTCTCTGCCATTCTGCAGCGCGAAGCTCTCCCGGCGCTTAGCGCTGTTGTTCTTTATTTGCAGGCGAGCTGGCGACTGGCCGCAATTCAGAAGAGTTGCAGCCACGGCCGAGGAGCTCCGTCAGCGCAACCTTTTACCGCAGGCATGATGTGCGTTGTACCAATGAGTTGCCGGGGTAAGTGGCTCGCCTACACAAGGTTTTTATCTTGGTGGACCTTAGTAGTTACTCAGGCAGATGTTCTTAGGTTAGGTAGGTCTTAGGAAATTTGAAGGGACCGGGATAGCCAGTTTTCAGCCATCCAAAAATGACCCGTTCCAGTTTCCTTGGGTTTCAGCGGCAGGGAGCACCAATACATCGGTATAGTATATAAAGACACCTCTGAGCCTTTTCTGCATTGTCTCATGGCTATGCAGTAACTTGAAATCGGGCAAGCAATAAAGTACTGGTTCCCCTCCTCCCCCTTTTAAAAATGCAACACTAGAAAATTCAGAATTGAGATGGAACACTAAAAGCATCAACTTATAAGCATACAAAATTATAAACCCCTAACTGTTTGAACTGCTTTGCACTTTGTGTAGCTGTATGTCAAATGCTAAAACATAAGGTTTAATATTGAGGAACTGTAAGAATTCTGGTTACAGGAATAGTTTCTCTTTCATATGGATCATTACACAGACTGCCAGTGACAGGAAGAGAGCTGAAGATGGCTGGAAATGCTGATCATGTTTATTTATATCAGAATCAGATGGGCACGTTATTTGCAAAGGATGAAATCATAAATGGGTTCTGTAAGTCATCAGAAATGAGTGCCAGCAAAGGGGACCTTTAAACAACACCAGCTTGTGTTCTGGCATTTGCAGATAGATAAATAAATTGGTATGGAGTTGAGAGTTTTTTGAAAAATGTTATAGCAACTATATTCTGTGTTCTTCCATCATAAAGCCTTGGTTACTGTGCATCCACTGGGCTCAGATGGAGCCTTGAAGAACCTCTGCAAATGACTTAAAGAAGCTTCAGCCAGCCCTACAATGTGACATTATATTAAGGTCCAGTATCTGGAGTCCTTCAGTTATTAGAAGTGAATGTTCTTTGGTCCATCATCAAGCTGGGGATTTCCTTTTTCCAGTGGGACAATGTCTTGTTTCTACCACTGCTATGATGAAATACATGGGACCTGTTTTAAATTTTTGTGTTGGTCGTCATTGGCCCAAGGCTGAATGCAACCTGACCTAGTCCTTAAATATGCTTTGGGGTAGAGAAAATGCTTCTCTCAGCAGGCTTAAGGTGTTTTTAATGCAGTTTTCTGAAGCTTTTTTCGAGATCAGAATGGTGGTATACATTTCTGGTGTACAGGTACTGGGTAGAACCAAAGATGTATTATAATGTAACCAAGAAATCTGTTAGTTCATTTGTTTGATGGTTATTATATCCATCTAACACTGTCCCAGTCATATCCACATCTGTGTACTTTACCTTTGTATCTCTTAAAAATCCATAGATCCCAAGCAACAGAGTGTGTTTCTTTTGTTTAGAAAAACATGTGAAAGTCTCCTCCAGGAACGTGGCACCATACTTCCTTTCAAGCTAATTTTGAGTCTTGATTTGATCATGTCTTTAAATTGCTTTCAGGTGAGTGGTATTGGCAGTATGGCAAAGGCAGGGCATGTGTGTGCTGTAGTCTTGCTTAAATGTACAAAGAGAGGTAGTTAATCATGTTAGGCAAGTCAATTAGAAGGCAGAGTATATTTGCACCTTAAAGACTAAATCAGAAAGGTATAGCATAAGCTTTTGTGAGCCTGAGCTCACTTCTTCAGATGCTGTATTCAATCCTGGTTTCCATTTCTTTCAAATAAGATCTTGAATTTCCACTGGCACGTTTGAAGTTATTTAAAAACATTATGGGTCATTTTTTAAATGGATACTTTGCCCTTACCATGATCACTCATCAGTAAAAATATACCAGGTTTAATCTCTCTAATCCATTTGGAAAGCAGTGGAGGTATAAACTATATCATCCTTATAAAGCAATTCCATGTGTAGTCTTTTATATGATTGAAAAATATTACTGAAATAATCAGATCTTTCATTCATTGTCAGCCTAATGACATTTAATAAGTAATTGCATTGGTGATATCTTTGCTTTAAATTTATACAGTACTGTTCACTTAAGGTCTTGAACTGCCAGAAAATATACTGTTTGTTATCTCAGCATATCAAAATTATTAGATAACCTTTTGGGTGGTTATGCTAATAAATTTGGATTTAACGTATGTGATGGTAAGAGGATTTTGTCTTCTGACTTCTCTTTCCTTCCACTTGCTTTCTCTTATCTACGTTGTAAATGTCACTACAGCAAAGAACGTATACCTCTATCCAAAAATGAGACTTTCAGGATTGTCCTTGAAGAAAGAAGGAAGATATGAAACTGAGGACATGCCAGATTGCAAGCACAATTTCTCAGAAGTTGTTAAGTCCTTGGCCCAAAGCATCCAGCAACTTTAAGGAGGCTCTGTGCATTTCATAATAGGTAGAAGACTGTGTTGTTTAATTTGAATGAACTATTAATAAAGAAGCATTGATAGTAATGACTACTTAAAAGAACATTTCAGTACATCTTTCTCCGATTGTAATTTTTTTTTATCGTCATGGGTTTGCATGGATGAGCACTGTGAGAGTAGCATGTACAAACTTAATGATGCAGGAAAAACATACTGTATCTACTGCTTCAGAAGTCTTCAGTTAGCTTGTGAGGTTCTGGTATTTGCTGTCTAATTATCAGCTTTTAAAATTGCATTAATGTCTGGAGGCAAAAATATCTAATGTGTAGGAAAACTCACATAGCTTGACTCTGCTCGAGCAGAATTCCAGTTTATTTGAAGGAAGTCTAGACCAAAAAGGGGTTCAAGGTTGGAACTGTACTCTTTCTTGGTCATTCTAGCTCAGATTTACAGAACTGATTAGCAATCTGTGGGCATGATTTTCAGAAAGTAATGAATTGTCTGTCCTCTGAAAAATCAGTCCCCCTTTTTAGGTGTCTTTAATTGGGCATCCAGAAATAGCTGGTTACTGCTGAATTTCTTGGGTTGTTTTGGGCTGGGTGATGATGATTATCAATGTGGAGGCTAAATTCTAAATACAATTTTTCTATTTGTAGTTACTGATAAGAGATCAAACAGTTTTCTTCCATAGGATAATGACCATAAAGCCAGTTTTTGACACTTTGTGTAAGGGGTTGCCTCCAAACTGAAGAGAATTGCTAAATTTCATAACTGATAGTATTACACCTAAATTGAATAATAATGGACTCTTTTGGGATGTTGGATGCATTTTTTCCCCTTTCCTTCTTGTCACAAAGTTCAGTCATTCCTTTTCTCAAATGTAGCATACTGGGCACATCTACACAAGACACTTCCTGCAGATCTGCCTAATTAGCTCCACGGTAAAGTCTCGGGGTCTACATATGTTTCTTACATTAGGCCGCAAGAAACTAATTAACTCTGCTGTAGGTTAGTACTTGTAAACAAGTACTAATCCTTGGCAGCGTTCTTTAGTGCACAGCATTGCATGTGTAGATGCTGGGAAGACTGGCTGTGGCATAAGGGTGCTTCAGTGTGGGGGATGCCTGCTTACTGGCACCACACTGAAGCACCCGTGTGCTCCAGCCACCCTCTCTGCAGAACATTGATCCAGGGCTGCTGCAACCTGGCTTAATGTGCTGTGTCCCCAGGTGCATGTGTATATGTGGTGCCCGGGAGCAGTAAACTCTGGTGAGAGATGTGCTGGAGCTTATTGTGTTCCATTAATTTCACATGTAAATGCACCCACTGTCTCATATACCTAAAGGCCTGGTGGATGCCAGAGAGGGTAATGAACAAGGTTTATATTACTTTAGGTGTACCCAATTTCAGTGCTCTCCCTCTAAAGCATCTACTCTTGCCACTGTTGGAGACAGGGAAACTGGGCTATGTGGACTGTTAGTCTGATCCAGTGTGGTACTTGTTATCTTCTTGTGTTCTTCACAGGGGAAGACTAATGCAGAAAAAATCAGCTGAAATCTCTGTAATATTGAGTTACAATGACATCAGTGCCTGTTGGCTATGGAAACCATGGCAGCATGTTACATGGATGGGAAAGACATGAGTGGACAATGTGGCCCAACTTCTGCAGATTCCACGTCTTCTGCATGATGCTGGCAGTATTAGCTGTCGTGGTGCTGATTCACAACGTTCATCAGTTAGAGGTAAGTCAATGAGAGAAAAGGTGCTTATGCTTGTGGCTTGCATTAGTTCATGTACAGTTACTGTTTCGTGCTGTGGGTGCACATACTCTTCAGTAATTCTGTTCTATGTGTAGTCTGCACAGAAGTGACAAGCTCTGCTTGCAGATGGCTAGCCTGTAACTTTAAATAACTGATGTCACTTAATTCAATATACAGCTCTAACTGAACTACTTGTATGCGTCACTAAGGCATGCAAGGCAGAGATGGCGGTTTCTCTGTCAGCTCTTCTTGATATTTTTTTTTTTTTTTTTTTTTTTATCTTATCACTGCCACAGAGCTCTGTATTGTCATTGCTTCTGTTTTGACTGTTTGTGTGGTATATTTTTCTCACAGATCTGCTTCTTGTTCCTCATGCATCATATGATTTCAAATCAAATTCTTTGGATTTCCAAGGGTGTAGGATTTCCAAAGCGCTTTTGTTAATTCAGTGTCATCCATCTGTTTTGTGGGTCGTGTCCAAAAAGGTGCTAAAATCACACGGTTGGTGTATGTCTGGGTTTGCTTTGTTTTCAAAATGCAGTTCCTAAAGGAAAGAGGAGTAGGATGGGGGCTTGGTCCACTTTGCAATTCGCATCTTGTCTTCACTTATCCTGAGAGGTTTCATAGTATTTGTCAGCTACATCCAGGAGTTCAGTCCATCTTCTGTCCTCCGTTGGTCTATAGGCAGCTATCAAGGTACACTAATTGTAGTAAGTTGATCTGCTACCACATGGGTGTGCATTGCAGATGCTAGGTACAGGTAGTTCTTGGACTTAGGACGCAGTTGGTTCCTGAAAACCATGTTTTAAGTCAAAACATAACTCAGAACCCATTTCCCCATAGGAAACAATGTTATAAATGGAGGATTGGTTCCTGAAACAAGGCCTGATACCCTATTTTCACCAAAAATAACCCAGACTTTTGTACTCGATCAATTATAGCTGAGTAATATAGCTACATTAATGTATTTATATTGTAAATAGCAATCACATTGATTTGGAAGGACTTCTTTGAGGTGACTGCTGGACTTTTTGAAGGGTTTTCGGCTGGAGTCTTCTCAGGAGTCTTGGCTGCAGGTTTTTCTGGAGTCTTGTCTGCTTTCTTAAAGAAAGTGTCCAAGGAAGTTTGGACAGATGTTCTCCAGGGAGATGGGCGATGCAGCGAACTTGTTCGCTGGCATGGCGTTGCATTGGATCAAGCATCATACAGTCAAAACTGAGGTCATAAAGTTGAAACAGGGTATCAATTTATAAACATTGTAAGTGTGAAACATTGTAACTCAAAACATTGTAAATCAAGAACTGCCTCTATTAATATTTCACTAAATGAAACTGAAGTTCCAAAGAAAGATGATCTTTTGTTAGCTTGATTTATAATTAGAAATACTTTAGTGTGCATCCTGCCATAGTAAAAATGTAGCATCCTTCAGGTAACATTAACTGAACAGCATCCTGTAACTATTGAATTTTTATTTTGCTTTTATTTTAGCGGGTATATGTTTGTTTGGTTCTGTATCAGGAAATCTGGTGTGTCATGCACATTTTCCTTCCCTGCCTTCTCCCTCCTCCCACAAATCCCTAAATGTTGGAGTATTTTTTATTATGTCTGTGAAAATCAAACAAACAGTAGTAAAATATTTTTACAAATACGTTAACTTTGCAAGTGAAAATACATGAATCAAGATTGTCTTTTAGCAAAGATGTTTTTAAATTCTCAAGCTTCTCAGATTTTTGTCTCCCATTATTCTATGTTGTTCAGAACCAGAGCTAGTCTTCACTAGGTGGGCACCCTCTTTACAGATATTTTGACGCCTGTATTTGCAAATTGAGAACAAGCTTTTCCTCTTGAACTCATATAGATACCATTGTGCTATATTACGGTTCACTGCATTTAGCATGCAGTGGTATACTTACCAAGGGTTCCTACAGGTTGACACAACTTTGGGTGATTTGTATTAAAGGCAGATCTAATGCTTGTTTGGGAAATAAGCTAATAGATACTACCTTTAATTTAGGGATCCCTAAATTAGTTTTTGAATGTACCTTTTGGAACACTGTATGAGACTGAGTAGGACATAAAAGATATCACTTTCTCCATCTCCCCCCTTCCCCTTATGCTATTATGTACCAAATGAGAAGCTGGCATCATCACTGACTTTACCCCTACTTTTCCCAAGATAGATTTCATGCCTGTCTCAGTCAGCCTCCAGACCGTGTTGTTCAGGGTAGTGTTGAGGTATCTGAATTAGCTATCAGCAAGCCAGCAGAGTTCCATGCAGGCTAATCGCACTGTTTCTAAACTAAGTTTCAAGTTGCTGAGGCTGTGATGATCCTTGTGGTCCCTGAGTTAGTCTGTTTATAGCAAGTGCAGGTACCTTTTACCATACTGTACTGCAAACATGTCCTAACACTGACTACATTGTGGTGTTTATTCTTGGGTACTGATGCTAACTCTTTTTCTTCCTTCTTGCTGTGTCTTAATTTTTGTTTGCGGTAGGGTATTGGAGGAACAGTACTTGTATTTATTTCTTGCAACTCATTCTATTTTTCGTTGGTTGTTGTATAAATATGTGCACTGTATGTAGCTTGACAGATCCCTTGTAAACAAATGGAAGTTGAGGGTTATGCTGTTTTATATAACCACAAACGTATCCAGTGCTCACAAACCCAGCCAAAAATGTGTTGCTGTTTAAATCTTTAGAATACCACAATCAATATCTAGCAGTTCTGACTCCTTTTTCTTGTCCTTCACTTCTCTAAATGCATCTGCTGAAGCATTTTTTTTTTCCGTAGGTATAGCTTCCCAGTCAGTTTATTTTGATGCTCTTCAGAATAATTGTAATTGGAACATAATTGCAGTTCAAAAGCAGCCTCCATTGTGTTTGGTTGCTATTTAAAATACATAGGCAGATGAAGGCAACTTCCTGTTTTCTTGAATACCCTAGTGATAAAAAGCACCAGTTTTCTTTAGCTGGCTGTTTAGCTTTGATTGATTGAATTATCTAGCTGCCCATTTTGCTTTTTGAGGAGCTGCCTGCTGCCTTGCTGTTTAAGGCATAGTTGCTCCCATCTTGAGCACCGCATTATAGCAATGGATCAAGGTGCAGTTCTTGTGGATAGGACAGCATAAAAGGAAATGCTTAGTAGTCTGCAGAGTACCAGGTTGCTATCTGAGACTTGCAATGCTTACATAAGCATTTGTATGCATGCTATAGCAAATTGTACTTGGAACAAGAGACGCTTCAGGTTGCTTTTGAAAACATCCTTTGGTACATGACTTTTTGCAGAAATCCTGTTTCTTATGTAAAGAAATCACAGATTCACTGAAGTTTAGGGCTGGAAGGGACCTCGTGAGATCATTGAGTCCAGCTCAATGTTGGCAGCTATGGTGAATTTTGAGGTGGCTGTAACCCACCCCATAGCCCCACCCCCTCCCAGTGCTATTGCCACCCAGCCCCCACTTCCAGGAAGACTCCATAGCCCACAGTGGGCAACCTGCCCTGGACCTGCACACAAATCCAGGGGGGCACATGCCCCCCCTGCCTCCCCTGGGGGTATGCATAGTGGTGGGGAGCTACCCCCCACCCCTCTGTGGCCCCTAGATGAGCTGCTTGTGGCTCCATTCCACACCCTGCCCCAGCCCCACTCCCTCCCTCACCATGAGGGCCTCAATTTCCCCCTGCCCCTTCTCTCCCCAACAGCTCGCCCCGTCCCATAGACTTGTCAGCTGGACACTGCTCTCCAAGGTGCTGGGCTACATTCTTGGCCACACGCATGCTGCAGCTGTGCAAATGCACATGGCATTTATAGGTGACGTTATCAGCTACACCAGCCAAAAAAAAAGTCAATTGCCGAGAGTGTCAATTTTCTGTTTATCGTTGCTAATCTGATATGCACCGATATATCAGTGTACCTCTAGTCTTTGACATTTAGGATAAGTAAGCACCTGAAGTGACCTGTCCCTGTCTAACCAGAGAACAAATAAGCATAAAATAGAATATGAGATGCAAATAAGATGACTGACCTTTTGGTGTCTGATGTACACAGTTCTGTATACTGTGTTCAGCCGATACGGCTGGTTAATAATTGGCCATTGGTATCAGCCAAATAATCTTTCTTCTCTGTTTAATGGGAATGCAGTACTTTTAGGGCAGGACCTAGGGTTCTAATCTCTCCACATTTACTCAAAATTGATGTCTGTCATCTGGATCATTTCCAGTGCTGCTGCAGCTATATCGCTATTACAGTGATATATGCTGGTTTGCAGCCACTGGCTGCTGCAGATGTGATAAGTCATGCTAAGAATTATAGCTGAATCAGGGTAGTGGGCACTAGAGGAGCACTGAAGGTCCATCTCTTCCAAAGCATTTGGCATTTAGTAGGTTCTTTTCTGTTTATCAGCCTTTTTTTTCCCACTAAGGGTAAGCTTTCAATACAGGTTACCCACTTTTACTTCAGACTCCTCAGTTTTCCTTACACGCAGCCCATATGCTTGGGCTTGTGTGTATGGTGACCCTGGTCTATTCTGCCTGTCTGAGAGTATGAATTAGAGCCCGCTATTTGCATTAAGTCAGTCTCTGATCTACCAGCTTGGCAGTGATCATACAGCTGAAGTCTCTGCATCTGAGTTGTTGGGCTTTCCATACTTCCTCAAAATGCTCCATTCTTGGGTATGGAGCTCCACAGTTCCGTGGGTCTGTATTTTTTCCAGTCTTGCTATCTGCTTACTTGCTGTTTGTACTTTCCATGCACTTGAAATAACTTGTTGGCTGATACAGAAAAACAGCATGGGCTGATGAGTGTGATACTTGGGAGAGCCTGGGATTTCAGGGGATATACCCAAAATAGGCACTAGTATGGAAACCTCTGAAACAAGCAGGCAGTGGCAGTGATCAGTCAGAAATCTGTCCAGTGCAAAGAGTGCATTAATATCTAGAGAGTGCTTGCCTGAAGGAAAAGGAAGAAAAACAACTCACCGTCTGC